AGCTATTTAGAAAAAGGAGAAAAACCTAGATGTATATATATATGCATGTGCGTGTCTGTGAAGTGTGACCAAAGTGTAAGTAGGAGTAGCAAGATATCCCTGTTATCTAGCGTGTTTATGAGACAGAAAAAGAAACCAGCAATCCTACCATCATGCAAAACAGTTACAGGTTTCTGTTTCACAGTCATCTGGCAGGACGGTAGTACTTCCCTGGGTGGTTGCTGTCTACCAACCTACTACCTATACTGGGATAACTGTAGAAAATTATTCCTTTTTGTATGCCTTCACACAGTGTCATTTCTTCTAAAAATGGTGTTACGTGAGAATGGGAGAGTTCCTCTTTATTTATTCTACCGTACGAATGTAGAGAGAACTTGTACATAATGTAACTTGTACACAACCCAGACGTGTTCACCTGGTTTGTTTACAAAACTCGTGCATGCCTGGTTTGTTTACATAACTCCACGCCTGTCCTCTCTCATGTATTCATTCTCTCTCTCATTTATTCATTTTATCTCGTTTACTCACCTCTGACCCTACATTAAGACAACAAATATTTTAAGGTAAGCAATGAGTGAACTGTATATGCATTTTATCACAAACTGCCCTTCTCACACTATACCATTCACTTATATATCCATACCTCACCTATGCTATCTGTGCTTGGGGTTCAACTGCAGCAACACCTAAAGCCAATAATAACCCAACAAAAAGTCACAGTAAGAATAATCACTAAATCCCATCCGTGGCAACACACCCCCCTACTCTTCATAGATTTAAACTTACTCAGTGTTCAGTACATCCACACTTACTACTGTGCAATCTACATCTACAGGACCTTAAATTCCAATATTAACCTTGACCTAAAACACTTTCTTGATAGTTGTGACAGAACCCACAGGCACAACACCAGACACAAACATCTCTATGACATTCCCCGTGTCCGACTAAACCTTTACAAAAATTCAATGTATGTCAAAGGCCCTAAAATCTGGAACACCCTACCTGAAAATTCTAAAACTGCAGACACATTCATCACCTTCAAAACTACCATCAGAAAACATCTTATCTCCCTGATACACCCCGTCAACTAACTACACGAATACCACCTGGTGGTTCACACTTACACTCACTCACCCATTTGACAATAAACAGAAACATCAATCTCTATCTCAAAATAATGAATCTTAACTAGTCATTAGTTGGCCTGTGATACTCCAATACTGAAACTATGTATAGTGCCAAAACAAAAGCATTCACATTGCTAAACTCACAAACTAGTATTTAGTCACTTAGCCATAATACCAACTTACCTCATAATTTGTAATATTTTAAACTTAAGATTTAATCTAAGTTTGCCCGAAATGCCTAGCCATGCTAGGTGTTCTAGTGGTACACTGTAATTATTATTTTTCTACATGTAAACCACATGTAAACCACTACATGCAAACCACACAATAACCAAATTCTGTAAATTCAGCATTGTAATCCTTATAGAGAATAAACTTTTGAATTTGAATTTGAATAGGATATTGTGTGTGGGTGGGGTGGCCTGGTATGGTAGCCTGGCTGGCTACCATACATACCACACTTGGTTTCTTACAATAAATACTACTCATCTCACCCTAGATTAACTACAACTATTTTAAGATAAGTAATGAGTGTACTATATGGGTATTTTACTTTTTTATTATTTTTAATGCCTAGTTCTAATGCTAACTTAATATATGTTAGTGTAAACTTATCTAGTAATTATATGCATTTATAAGTGGAAAAAAGGGTGTTCCATTTTACTGCAATTTCCGCTTTTCGGCGGTAGCCTGGAACCTAACCTGCCATATAAGTGGGGCCCTGCTGTACATAGAGTGATAGTAGTGACCTGAAGAGTAAGGTGAGATATGGTGAAACTAATTCTGGGTAGATTGATGACAGCTTGGACAAATATATAACTGAGGAGAGGCAGAATTCAAGAAGAACCTGTCTAATATGGGCCAGTAGGCTTGCTGCAGTGTTTCTCCATACTGTGATCTGTTGTTATGTGGGACAGCGATGAACAAGTGTCTTGGCTTCTACAACCTGTGTTGTAGAAGCTATTGTTCTGGTTGAAGATGTTTGATATACTGATTACTGATGATTCCAGAATCCTGTGTTTTTAAGTGTCTTGTAGTTTAACAGTGATTTAAAGAATAAAGATTTTATTTCTTTGCAAAGGTTATAATCAAGAACATCACTAGTATGGAACACCACTAAGACAAAACCATGGCTGGGGTATACACAATCCTTTACAAAGACTGTGACTAAATATTATATTTGGGAGAAACATCAAGAGACTTCCACACTCACATTTCTGAACACAAATATACTACCAGAATAGACCACTTCAATAATGCTGTGTTTCTGACAGAAACTTCTCAACCACCTGATCAATTACAATAATGTACGACTCATTGTTTCTGACAGACTTCCCATTACAATAATGTACGACTCATTGTTAAACTATAAGACACTTCAAAATATAGGATTCTGGCATCATCAGTATATCAAACAACTTCAACCGGAGCAATGGCTTCTACAACATAAACCTCTTACCAAGGCACTTCTTCATCACTATCCCACATAGTATGGAGAAACACTGCAGGAGGCCTACTGGCTCATACTAGATTGAATTCAGCCTCTCCTCAGCTCTATACTTGTCCAAGCTGCCATCAGTCTACCCAGAATTAGTTTCACCATAACTCATCCGACTCTTCTGGTCACTACTATTACTATATGTATACACATCCTTTCTCCCCTGTAGACCTATTTGCTGATAATTAAGACACGTATGCAACAGTTATGTATCTTTACTCTGAAATGTTTAACCTACAGAGTAGGCTTCTTCAGTTGAATATAGAAGAGGCAACAGAAGCAGTACACATGTAAAGACTATGTAATCAGTCCATCACCCTCAAAGCCATAGTTTTGAGATGGTCAGTCCCTCAGCCAGAAGAAGAGTTCTCCATAGTCTGGAACAATGTGAAGCTGAAGCAACAGAATGGAGACTTATATATAGGTGCTCCTCACTTTACAACCTAACTGTTTAACGACTGCTCGGACTTATGACCAGCTCTCCAACCAGTACGCAAACCTTAGTAATGTATATTAGAGCTGATTTCCTCTATTCTGTTTATAACAGAATATACTAAATATACTAAAAAATGTTATAAATGGTGCAAAAGTGACAGTAAAACAATATCTAAAGACTAACTCACTTACCGACCTACTCTTAGGAAGACAACTCGGTCGTTAAGTGAGGAGTAGATGTACTGTTAAAGTTGAGGTGCACATAATAACCTTGATGACAAAAGAGGTAGAGTCCACTAGTAGAAGTAACACTGTAATAAGTGAGAGGAAGTGTAGCAAGTCTACTGGGTAGGTCCCCTTCAAATCCAACATTTCTCACTCACTACTAGTAACCAGGCAATAAAGTCTTTGAGGGTAATAGACTGATTAGTTACATTGTCTTTACATATTCATTGTTTTTGCTGCCTCCTCTGTATACGACTGAAGAAGTCTACTGTGTCAGCAAAATGTTTTGGAATAAAGATACCTAAATGTTGAACATGTGTCTTAATAATTAACTTCTGAGAATTATATGCCATTATTATATTTACATATCTATTTGTGACAATAAAATCCCCTGTATGGGAGAAATACTGTCAGTAAGGGACTCATTATGCTGCATTTTTCCTTTCTTCCATCTCTCTGAGAGAGATAAAGTGTTAACACATTCACTTGAGCAACATTCTTGGCTAATATTAACATGATACTCTCCAAGTGAGATAAAAGTATTAGCATACGTATTTGTCATGAATGAATGTGAAGAAAATATATAAAAATTTGATTGTAACAAGATGTTTTCCTTATTAACCTAAAACACCTAAGAGAGGAACTTTATGATGACGTTTTGGTCCATCCTGGACCACTGCCAAGTCACAATGGTCCAGGATAGACCGAAACATCGTCATGAAGTTCCTCTCCTATGTGGGGGTTTTTTGGGTAATTATTTCAGCCACAATACTGTGACTTTTTTATTCTTCGAGATACGTACTTTAGTCTGTGTAGAGCTTTAACAAGTCACACAAGATACGAAATACAGTAAATCCTTGATTTAACGGACTTCAGAAATACGTGACAAAATCCACAGGGTAACCATTAATTTTGAAACAATGGGCAAAGTGTGTTGGTTACAGAACCATCCATTAATGTTATGATTATGGTGAAACAATCTCACCGCCATTCACTACAATGACCCTAACTGGCCATCTTCTCTTCCCTATTAGTGCTTTACATCAAAGATTTACTGTACATTCAAGAGGAGATGTAGAGGGATACACAAATAACCCACAAACAGGAGGAAGACTCATGACTATGTTTTGGTACAATTTCGACCATTAACTAGTTATGCAGAGGAGTGAAGGATATATATATATGAGAGGGGGGCGGGGCTGCGTGAATGAAAAGAAATTGTGAGGAGGATGAAGAGGATAAGGAAAAGGACGAGGAGGAAGAGGAAGACGAGGTGTTGGTGTCTGGTATCTAGATTTTATGGTGGTGGTGCAAATGGCAATGGTGGTGTTGGCAGTGATGGCAGCAACAGCAGATGAAGAAAACCATGCAGAGATGAGGAAAATGAAATCATGGGAATATGATGAATTGTGTCTTTTTGTACCAATACAGCAACTTCACCAGTCAATGGCATTGACATGTCAACTGGTTCCGATTGCTGTATTTTGAATGACTTGATGATGCTCCATACACAGCAAAATGTGGTCCCAATAAAAGTTTCTTATAAAAAAATATCCTTTCTGCATTGTCACCAGTCTGTTACTAGGATCAGTGAATCAATCTCATGGTAATGAGACCAACATAAGTTGTTTTGGATGTATGATAAAATTAATAGGAGAATTTGGGTATCAAAATATTCCATCAAAGTAAACAATAAACTATGGTGAATTAACCTCAGGTCAGAAAGCTTGGGATAACTGCAGATACGAAGTGTTTTGGAGTTTGAGCCAACAGCATAGAAGCGACCGGATGGATGGAATTCTGCACAGCGCACAGCTTGCACATCCTCGAGGGATGTGACTGCCAGGAATCTGGGCTTGGCGTCCCCATCTTTGTTGCCACTCTGAAAAGGAAAAAGACATTCAATGAAACACAAAAAGTATATACTATAAAGAATAAAAAAATCATATCATGGCTGGAACATTCACCAAAAAACCACACAAAGGAGATGAACCTTATGATGCTTTGGTCCATCCTGGACTACTGTGAAGGTTCTGGCAGGCCTCACTTTACAGTGTTTCACTATTGCAGTGCTTCTCAATTATCCCCATTCTTCATTTATTCAGACTTCCTACAATAAACATATTCACTGCTCACTATAAGCCAAGAACAAAAATATTTTAAGGTAAGTAATATTTTAAGTAGGTAATGTGTGTGTACTCTTATGAGCCACTGTTTTTGACGTATTTATATTCCAAAATTGTAGCAGCTTCAAATCATGCAGGAGAAAGCTGGTAGGTCCACATGTGAGAGAATGGGTCTGTGTGGTCAGTGTGCGCAGTATAAAAAAAAATCCTACAGCACGCAGTGCATAATGAGAAAGAAAAACTCCGACCGTATTTTTGGATTAAAACACTGACTTTGAGGTGTATTTCATATAGTATTTATGGTTGTATTCTTGTTTTCTTGCTCTCATTTGATAGAATGGAAGACAAGTTACAGAAATAGAGATGATTTTGATTGGTTTCATGATGAAAAGGCCCTTGAAATTGAGCTCAAAATAGTGATAATGTTAAATTTTTGCCAATGTTCAAGAGTAAACAAATGATGTCCTTGCCCAATAAGTGACCAACTAGCCATTCTAACACACAGTCATGAATGGGTTGACATTATTCATACAATTATTATAATAATGCAGCAGTCTGCATAACAGTAAATCTTCTATTTTTTGTGTGGATAAAAATTCAAAATAGAAAGCAAGAGTAATATAAGAGGGGCCTGGAGAGTTTATCTGGAGAGAGTTTCGGGGGTCAATGCCCCCGCGGCCCGGTCTGTGACCAGGCCTCCTTAGGTCAGTGTCCCAGGATGCGACCCACACCAGTCGACTAACACCCAGGTACCCATTTTACTGATGGGGAACATAGACAACAGGTGGAAAGAAACACGTCCAATGTTTCTACTCTGGCTGGGAATCGAACCCAGGCCCTCACCGTGTGAAGCGAGAGCGTTACCACCAGGCCACCAGAGCCCGAGACGTGACTGATGAACAGAGAAAATGTTATTTTAGTGCCAGGAATGTCTGCATTGTTCATTCTGGACCCTATACAATGGACCCTCAGCTAACGATGGCATCAGCTAACGATACATTTTAACGCAAAAATTTTGCCTCAGCTAACGCTAAAAAACTCACCCAAAGCAATTCGTTCGAGACGTGTCCACGTGTGGCCTGAGCGAGCCTCAGTTGTCCCATGGGTGCCAGTGTTTACATCCACGCATCCACGCATACAATTGGAACATTTCATATTATCACAGCGTTTTTAGCAGGAGATACCATCTCTCAAGCGATCATATGTAAAAAGGGTGGGAAATACGTACTATCGTACCACGGTCAGCTGTTGCTGAAACATGGTGAGCTGCTGCTGCACCACGGTCAGCTGCTGCTGCACCACGGTCAGCTGCTGCTGCACCGCGGTCAGCTGCTGCTGCACCACGGTCAGCTGCTGCTGCACCACGGCCAGCTGCTGCTGCACCACAGTCAGCTGCTGCTGCACCACCATCAGCTGTTTCTGACCAACATGACTCATCCCAAACCTGTCCATCCAGCCCTGCCGTCATTGTTTACAAACCAGGGTGGCCGGTTGCATGCATACATTCGATACATTTTGTATTATTCCATTGTTTATAGCGCTTGTAACTGCTAAATAAGCCACCATGAGCCCAAAGAAAGCTTCTAGTGCCAACCCTAGAAATACCCTAGAAATATGTACTATCGTACCACGGTCAGCTGCTGCTGCACCACGGTCAGCTGTTGCACCATGGTCAGCTGCTGCTGCACCACAGTCAGCTGCTGCTACACCACCGTCAGCTGCTGCTACAACACCGTCAGCTGTTGCTGCACCACGGTCAGCTGCTGCTGCACCAAAGTAAGCTGTTGCTGCACCACGGTCAGCTGTTGCTGCACCACGGTCAGCTGTTGCTGCACCACGGTCAGCTGTTGCTGCACCACGGTCAGCTGTTGCTGCACCACAGTCAGCTGCTGCTACACCACCGTCATCTGTTGCTGCACCACGGTCAGCTGTTGTTGCACCAAAGTCAGCTGTTGCTGCACCACGGTCAGCTGGTCCTAGTGGTATTAAAAGAAGAAGGGAAGTAACCCCGGAAAAGGACTTCCTACCTAAAGTCCTAATGGAAGGGGATTCCCCTTCTAAACATTACCAACTTCCACACTCTCCCCTCTTCCCATCCCATCAATCACCACCAGATCTTCAATAAAGGTAAGTGCCAGTTTGTGTGTATTAAAATTAATATTTCATGCAGTCAAAAATTTTTTTTTTTCATACTTTGTGGTGTCTTGCACGGATTAATTTGATTTCCATTATTTCTTATGGGGAAAATTAATTCAGCTAACAGTAATTTCAGCTAACGATGAGCTTTCAGGAATGGATTAATATCATTAGCTGAGGGTCCCCTGTATTGAAATTGGCAAATTTTTCAATATTGTGAAATTGGCCAAATTGCCAGTTTCTGACCACTTTATTGGGTAGTTGAAATTGGTATATGGGTGGTTTCTTGTACAGTGGACCCCCGGTTTGCGATACTAATCCATTCCTGAGAGCTCATCATGAGCCAAAATTATCGAAATCAAATTAATCTGTGCAAGATACCCAAAAGTATGAAAAAAAAATTTTTTACCACATGAAATATTAAGTATAATGCACACAAACTGAAGAAGACATGCACAGTTTGTAGTACTCTACTAACAATAGAATACATGACACTTACCTTTAATGAAAATCTGGTGATGATTAATGGGATGGGAGGAGGGGAGAGTGTTGAAGTTGTTAATGTTTAGAAGGGGAATCCCCTTCCATTAGGACTTGAGGTAGCAAGTCCTTTTCCGGGGTTACTGCCCTTCTTCTTTTAATGCCACTAGGACCAGCTTGAGAGTCACTGGACTTTTGTTGCACAACATATCTGTCCATAGAGGCCTGTACCTCTCGTTCCTGTATGACTTTCCTAAAGTGGTTCACAACATTGTCATTGTACAGGTTGCCAACATGGCTTGCAGTAGCTGTGTCAGGGTGATTTTCATCAAAAAAGGTTTGCACTTCAAGCCACTTTGCACACATTTCCCTAATCTTTGAAGTAGGCAACTTCTTCAATTTCTCTATCCCCTCCTCCGAAGCAGTTTCCTCAGGTCTGGCCTCTTGCTGTTGAAGTGATCTAGCAGCTCATCAGTGGTTAGTTCGTCATTGTCTTCCTTCACCTACTCTTCCACATCCTCCCCACTAACCTCCAACCCCAAGGACTTCCCCAATGCCACAATGGATTCCTCAACTGGAATAGGATTCCCAGGGTTAGCCTCAAACCCTTCAAATTCCTTTTTGTCTAAACATTCTGGCCACAGTTTTTTCCAAGCAGAGTTCAAGGTCCTCTTAGTCACTCCCTCCCAAGCCTTACCTATAAGGTTTACACAATTGAGGATATTAAAGTGATCCTTCCAAAACTCCTTTAGAGTCAATAGAGCATCTGTGGTTGCTTGAAAGCACCTTTCAAACATAGCTTTTGTGTACAGTTTCTTGAAGTTGGAAATGACCTGCTGGTCCATGGGCTGCAGGAAAGGAGTGGTATTAGGAGGCAAAAACTTGATCTTAATGAAGCTCATGTCCCCAGAAAGTCGCACTGCCAAGTCTGTAGGATGACCAGGAGCACTGTCTAATACCAGGAGGCACTTAAGGTTTAATTTCTTTTCAATTAGATAATTTTTCACATTGGGGGCAAATGCATGGTGTAACCAGTCATAGAAAAAGTCCCTAGTGACCCATGCCTTACTGTTTGCACTCCACAGCACACACAAATTAGCCTTGAGGATATTCTTTTGCCTGAATGCTGTGGGAGTTTCTGAGTG